GACTGAGCTGGCTGTCAATGTGCTTCGAAAGCCGCGGCTTTTCGCGTGTGGCCCGAGGGATCTGGCAAGGGAGGTTTTGAAGGTTGGGGTTGAGCAGAGGCCGCAGGATGTGATATGGACGAGCTGGGCTGAGGAGTCGCTTACGCCGGAACAGATTGAGTGCGCCACCATTGACGCTTATCTTACTTACAAAACTGGAAAGAAGTTGTTGAGCAAAGATTGACAAATTGGTAGAATCTATTTTCAGGTGCCATCTCTGTTTTTTTGTTGAGCCACTTTAGGCAAATTGTTGTAGAGTACTTGTTTTTTTTTTCTTTTATACCCAATAAAACACTTTCATTTTGTCGAAAATTTGATCATCATATATGGGATTTCTTGTATTGTTTTGCCTGTGTGAAATGTCAACACAAGGTGGATCATGATTCAAGGGTACGGAGTTGTGCATGGTTTCATTGAAGAATTGTATGACAGGCAACAAGCAGATTGGAAAATCTCATTGTTTGCAATTTCATGTGTCCAGTCCTGAGGTTGCTAGCAGCAAAAGCTTGTATAATTCCTCTTTCTATATCACTACATCTTTCTGGGAACAGACAATTTTCTTGATCAGTGATGTGATGCCACGGGAAGACAAACGGAAATGAAATATAAAAAACCGAAACTTGTCTCCCCCTTAATATAGTAGAAATCAAAAACTTGTTGAAGTATAAGCAATCGAAAGTTTTCAAGAACAACCAACTGCTGGTGCAAAAGAAACCACAAGGGATAATGGCACAAATACAAAAGAAAGTGTCAGATTTCTTGTATTGTTTTGCCTGTGTGAAATGTCAACACAAGGTGGATCATGATTCAAGGGTACGGAGTTGTGCATGGTTTCATTGAAGAATTGTATGACAGGCAACAAGCAGATTGGAAAATCTCATTGTTTGCAATTTCATGTGTCCAGTCCTGAGGTTGCTAGCAGCAAAAGCTTGTATAATTCCTCTTTCTATATCACTACATCTTTCTGGGAACAAACAATTTTCTTGATCAGTGATGTGATGCCACAGGAAGACAAACGGAAATGAAATATAAAAACCGAAACTTGTCTCCCTCTTAATATAGCAGAAATCAAAAACTTGTTGAAGTATAAGCAATCAAAAGTTTTCAAGAACAACCAACTGCTGGTGCAAAAGAAACCACAAGGGATAATGGCACAAACTGCCATGCCATACAAAAGAAAGTGTCAATAACTTTAAAACTGCCCAACACAACAGAAGCAACAGCAAGACGTACAAAACAAAAAAGACCTAGAAAGATGAGCAACAAAGGGCAACTCTGAAATAAGTGCATTGATGAGAATATGAAATGTGCAAGAAAGGAATATAGCAGAGCAAGAATTGCAGAAGAAATAAGAACAATGCATAATGAGACCAAAACTTGACATTAAACAGCTGAAGAGCAAACAACAAGAAAAATGCATTGAAAAACAATCTTAGACAATTCAAAGAAGGCCCAAAACATATCATGCAAGCAAGTAGACCCAAGGAAGGAACTCTTATAGGAGAAAGTGTTTGGGATTGGTTTTTTACCCACCTCCATAAAACAAAAGCCAATTGGGCTACTCAAGTTAAATAAACTCCTTAGAGCACTTCCACCCATCCCCTTTTGCTATGACAAAAAGAGGCCTAGGCTCTAAAAACAACCCCCACAAAGAAAAAGTTACCATGGCAAGAAGTGGGCCCATGAAACTGGGCAAGCTAACGTTAGCGGCCAATTTAAATACCAAAAAATTCAAAAAAAAATTTCTATAAATACCTAGCCATGTTCTTCACTTCCCACACCAAAATCCATACAAATTTCTCTCCTCAATTCTCATGTTAATAGTGGTTGCCATGGGAATGGGTGGGAATGCATCAAAAATTGCTAGGGCAGTCACTATTCACATGAATAGTGTTTGCCCTTACTTGCCCTTACTTACTTGGGTGACAAATTTGTTTCTTTCTTTCTTGCCAGTGAAGGCAAGTTAATTGGATAATTTATATTATCCAAATACCTTCTACCCCAAACTTGGAACCTTGGATTTTCAGTTGTGTTGTATTTGTCCACTTACATGATCACTAACGAAGCAAATTGGATCACCGAAAAATGTGTTTTCATTGGCTATTCACCTCATCATAAGGGATACCGGTGTTATCATCCTCCTACTGTGAGTGTGGTCAGTCAGTTTATGCTGTGAGTTTGCATGCACCAACTTGAGAAGTTGCATGCACCAACTTGAGAAGGGCATTCCTTACTTTATTATTTCATATAGTTGACAAATTATTGTATAATTAGGAGATACTATCCTAATTGATTACTGTATCTATTTCCTTGTAAAAACACTCATGTAAATTCCTATATATACCTCCTTATGGAGGAGAATAAAACTTAACCTAAAGTATTCAAACCATATTCATATTCAAGCAGTATGTGTCAAAATGACTAGCATTAATTAAACCAAACTATAAGAACACACATGAATCCGGTGAATTGTTGCAATTCTACAAACCTAAAGGTTGCAGTATTGGCAATAAGTTTCACATCTTTTTATAAGTTCGAATCTCTCCCCAAATTTTGTAACTTCACTTGGAAACTGCGTACGTGATTTTCTTAATGGAAGTTACATTTTTTTGTTGAAATGGTGATAGCAACTACAATCTTGCTTCCTACGCTTGAAGCTACAACATATAGAGTAGGAGGCGACTTTGGTTGGAGTATACCTCCAGACACTTTCTTTTCTTGGAACATGTATCTTTTATGGGCTCAACAATATAAATTTCTAGTCAAAGACTAACATTGCTAAAGTTGGAAAAGAAGATTTCGAGCATTGTAATGTGATCAATCCCTACCATGTGTGGTATGGACGACATATATGCATCAATTCGAACACCCCGGCATGTATTACTTTACAAGCACATCTACCATGAGCACTGTGATAAAGGACAAAAAGTAGCCATATGTGTCAAGGGACTTGTCTATTAGTTCACCTTAAACTCAATTTGAGTATGTGTTCTAAAATCTCATGTGTTAATCAGTGTTGGTTTTAGGCGTTTAAAACGGTCATATATGCCTTCCTCGAAAGTCATATAGACATGACTTTTTACCGTGCATAGGAGTATGATTGAAAGTTTATAAAAAATAGTTGATAATGTGGTCATCTTTTTTTGAGTACAAGTGATAGTCTAAACTAAAGAGGAGAGGAATTTCTCTCTCACACACAATGTGGTTATCTTAAATAATATCGATGAGCCAAGTACGCATACAATGACTCGGCCCTCTTATTTTGGCGATGAAATTTTGATGTCGTGTTAGAATGACTCCCTTATTTTTGAAACACAAATATTTTACTCCGTACGTGAATTTCATAACAATTTCCATATAAAACGAAGCTTTACTTATCCTTTTTAGAGGTAATTCATCCTCTCATTATCATGAAACAGCTGATTACACATTCTTATATTAAGAACTGGCTGATGAAATGAAATAGTTGGTTACATCAGAAAACTTGAAACAAAAAATTAATTTGACAAATATGATATCTAAATTGAATTATCAAATTAGTAGTTAGGGCAAAGCCTAGGAGAAACGAACTAGAAGCCAATCCCAGAGATCTGAGTAACAAAGTTGAGAGGGAGCTGGGACTCTTGGTCAGCACTTGGACTTGGACTGGTTGAAAAGGTTGAAGAGGGTGAGATGTCAAAAGCCATCTTTTGCCCTTTGGAGCAGTGCCCTGCCAAAGTGGAGGTGACATAAAACGTATCGGCTCCAAGAAATTTAATTGTTGTTGGTTTCTCGAATACATGCAGGGTATCTGCAGTGTCACAACTGGCCAAATCTTCCTTGGTTACGAAAGCCAAGTCTTGTTCTCCTGCTTCAAACTTAAACACTGCAAATCCAAACAGCCCTATATAATAAGTAAACGAGTATCTAGCGTATTTTTGTAGTTAGAAGCATTAAAACATGTTATACGTATATGGATTTTTCTACAATGTTAATTTTTCTTGTATGTGAACGCAATTTTAGCCAATTAGATTAACGGATTTACGATTCTCTACTAGGATATAGACTAATAGCCAGTCATTAGATTTTTTTCACATTCAATATGAATTAAACCTTCTAGCATGATCGTCAAAAAAAGTAGGATGTAGAAAAGAAAATGGAGTTTATTAACTATGTTAGCTTTCATTGGGTTGAAAATGGTACCCGTGACGTGACATTTCATAAATTATGGTGGAAAAAAAAATTACATTTTCTTAATAATATATTATAGATAGCTGTTAAAAAGTAATGCACATTTGTACTTGAATAATAATATAGGTTTTGAATGATATAGAAAAGTCTAGAATTTGAATGAATGTGCAAACCTAACAAGTGGTATCAGAGCAACACACATCATATCTCCTAAATTCCAACAATAGCATATATGGGCATAGTCACGTTGGGTAGAGCGGATATGCTCCCCACTCTGAATCTGAGTTAGAATCTCCCATCATGTAATTTAAATTAAATTAAAGTAGTATCATTTGTATAAATTTTTTTAAAAAAACAAAAAACAAAAAACAATACAGTATAGATATATAGGATCTATGATATTCCAATAACATTGTTGAACTAAAATAAAAAGATAAAAAGCAAGTCTGACAAACTTAGAGTAGTAGTTGAGAACCTAGAATATCGCCAACCACCAAGGTATGCTTGGAAGCCCATGAAGCATAAGTGGCAGCGCCATCTGGAGGAATAGTCCAACCCAGGTCGTCTCCTACTACGTATTCTGCAGCTTCTGCTCTATCTAACACCAGTGATGTTGCTGCCATTGCTAGGGCAAGAAGAATCATCACACTCAATTTCATGGTTTTAACCATCTTTAATTTTAGCTCCTCTCCTAATATATAATTCTGCTCTGGAATGTAGTAGTTGGAAACTGATACAATTGGGCCCTGAAGTGAAGTGATGTCTCAATTTATAGAGCAACATATATTTATATGCATTGTGTGGGAAATCCGGCAATTGCAAGCTTTATTTGTACATATGTGCTATTGGAAGTAGATCGAATGTTGAAATTATCGAAACTAATTTATTTTAGTGTAGATACTTGAATTTTTATTTTTATTTTTTTTAATGAGGGAAATATTTTATTTGACATATATTGTTATGGCTTAAAAACAAACCCCACCCCCCTCTCCCTCCTTAAATTCTGTACTGACGAATTAGCTCTAGAAGTAATTTTTAATCAGGTTTGTTCTTGTTCTCTCACAATAGATGTGTGAATGAACATCTTATTTTGGTAGCAGCAATTCATTGTTATTTGGTTAAATGGTATCTTCCTGGTAATTTGGTTTAACTCTTTCAGAATCTGTTTTCCTTTCTGATCTATGAATATATTGCCTGTTTTCCTTTCTGTAATTTGTATATTCACATGTCTCGTACAAGACTCCCTTGCGGTATGTTGTATCAACTGACTGTATTTTGTTGCTTTGCTGTGACAAATTGTAGGTGTTTGCCCTAATTGCAGAATCAGAGTCTACACATTTGCAGTTGGGCTTGGACTTGCTTCATGCTATCAAGAATGAGCTTGGCCTCACCCCTTCACGGAAATGTCTTGATTTTCTTCTCAATGCTTGTGCTAATGCCAAAGATCTGAGAAATTCCCTACTGATTTGGAAAGAATATGAAACTGCTGGCCTGCCTTACAACACTTTAAGTTTCATAAGGTGAATAATCCTGCTGCTAGTAGAAATGTTTCAATTTTTGGTGTTCGCTTTTTACAAATAAGCCTATTCTAACATGTCATTTTATAAAAAAACCATTCAAGTCCAATACTTTAGAAAAACCTCATGTTGTACTTTCAAATGAAAAAATTGTATCAACTAAGAACCAATTACAAAATGACAAGTGGCTAATTGAGGCCTTTTTTCTCCAAATAGGCTCTCTAAGGGTTTTTGTATAAAATGTCATGTTATAATGGGCCTATTTGTCTCTCTTGCTTGAAAACCTTGTTTCCTTGGATTGGAAATGATTTTGTTGACCTCTGGGTTTCAATATCGGAATTCTTGCAGGATGTATCAAGCCCTTTTGGCTGCAGGGGACCGCAAGGCTTCGAAAATTTTGCTTAGTAAAATTCCTAAAGATGATCCCCATGTTCGAACTATTATTAAAGCATGTAAAACCATTTACTCATAGGGTAAGAAGTACAAGAAATAAACAAGATGAATGCATCCTTTAAATTAATGCATTGAATTTGATAAGTAACTTTTTTTTATTTTGCTCCTTGAGAAATGAAACCACGAGCCTTGTACTGGGATAAGTCCCATATATCCAATTTGTACGGAATGCTGGTTCTATATGCTCAATTCACATCGTTTGGAGCAAGTTGTACTGTCTGGGTTTCTTTTTTTCTTTTTTTTTGGTCGTTGCATTGTCTGCGATACGGATGGTTACATCTATTGTGGTTCCTTAAACATGAAAGACATTGCGGTTTTATTTTTGGTTTGCAAGACAGGTTCTAAGATACGATACTGAGGTTTGAATGGGAGGCTGGACCTGTGGAACTGATGAGTTTAACTATCAAAGTGTGTGCCTTCTTTAAAGAATGGCGGATGCATACATCTCCCAGGTTAACTTTGTTAAAGTGGATAGGAGAATGTTTTGTATGGAATTTCACCTTTATGAATAAGTAAATTTGCACTATAACTACCCAAGGTTATAACAGATTCGTTTTCTTTGGAATTACAGGAAGATCTGAACCTATAATCACTAGATGTCAAGCTCACAGGCAAATTGATTGAATATATTTCGTCGTTCAATAATACTAGACACACCAACTCGTCTCTTTTCCGCACTCTTAAAATGAGTTGGAAGAGAACCATTTTCCAAAACCAAATGTACATTTAGAAGCTTGTTCTTTTTTCATGGCGCACTCTCCATTTAATGGAGAGTGCGCCATGAAAAAAGAACAAGCTTCTAAATGTACATTTGGTTTTGGAAAATGGTTCTCTTCCAACTCATTTTAAGAGTGCGGAAAAGAGACGAGCGGAAAAGAGACGAGTTGGTGTGTCTAGTATCATTGAACGACGAAATATATTCAATCAATTTGCCTATGAGCTTGACATCTAGTGATTATAGGTTCAGATCTTCCTGTAATTCCAAAGAAAACGAATCTGTTATAACCTTGGGTAGTTATAGTGCAAATTTACTTATTCATAAAGGTGAAATTCCATACAAAACATTCTCCTATCCACTTTAACAAAGTTAACCTGGGAGATGTATGCATCCGCCATTCTTTAAAGAAGGCACACACTTTGATAGTTAAACTCATCAGTTCCACAGGTCCAGCCTCCCATTCAAACCTCAGTATCGTATCTTAGAACCTGTCTTGCAAACCAAAAATAAAACCGCAATGTCTTTCATGTTTAAGGAACCACAATAGATGTAACCATCCGTATCGCAGACAATGCAACGACCAAAAAAAAAGAAAAAAAGAAACCCAGACAGTACAACTTGCTCCAAACGATGTGAATTGAGCATATAGAACCAGCATTCCGTACAAATTGGATATATGGGACTTATCCCAGTACAAGGCTCGTGGTTTCATTTCTCAAGGAGCAAAATAAAAAAAAGTTACTTATCAAATTCAATGCATTAATTTAAAGGATGCATTCATCTTGTTTATTTCTTGTACTTCTTACCCTATGAGTAAATGGTTTTACATGCTTTAATAATAGTTCGAACATGGGGATCATCTTTAGGAATTTTACTAAGCAAAATTTTCGAAGCCTTGCGGTCCCCTGCAGCCAAAAGGGCTTGATACATCCTGCAAGAATTCCGATATTGAAACCCAGAGGTCAACAAAATCATTTCCAATCCAAGGAAACAAGGTTTTCAAGCAAGAGAGACAAATAGGCCCATTATAACATGACATTTTATACAAAAACCCTTAGAGAGCCTATTTGGAGAAAAAAGCCCTCAATTAGCCACTTGTCATTTTGTAATTGGTTCTTAGTTGATACAATTTTTTCATTTGAAAGTACAACATGAGGTTTTTCTAAAGTATTGGACTTGAATGGTTTTTTTATAAAATGACATGTTAGAATAGGCTTATTTGTAAAAAGCGAACACCAAAAATTGAAACATTTCTACTAGCAGCAGGATTATTCACCTTATGAAACTTAAAGTGTTGTAAGGCAGGCCAGCAGTTTCATATTCTTTCCAAATCAGTAGGGAATTTCTCAGATCTTTGGCATTAGCACAAGCATTGAGAAGAAAATCAAGACATTTCCGTGAAGGGGTGAGGCCAAGCTCATTCTTGATAGCATGAAGCAAGTCCAAGCCCAACTGCAAATGTGTAGACTCTGATTCTGCAATTAGGGCAAACACCTACAATTTGTCACAGCAAAGCAACAAAATACAGTCAGTTGATACAACATACCGCAAGGGAGTCTTGTACGAGACATGTGAATATACAAATTACAGAAAGGAAAACAGGCAATATATTCATAGATCAGAAAGGAAAACAGATTCTGAAAGAGTTAAACCAAATTACCAGGAAGATACCATTTAACCAAATAACAATGAATTGCTGCTACCAAAATAAGATGTTCATTCACACATCTATTGTGAGAGAACAAGAACAAACCTGATTAAAAATTACTTCTAGAGCTAATTCGTCAGTACAGAATTTATCCCTGAGTTGCTTGAGTAAATTGAGCGCAGGTCTAAATCAAAAGGAGAGAGACATGAGCAACTAGGAGTTGTCAAAATAATCAGATGAAGGAAATTATTAAAGTTGGAGCATCCAAACCAAAAGCAATTGGTAATGGCCCAAGATTAAAAATTGAATGCAAGGCTTAGAATACCCAAGGTATTCTCAACATAACTGTTATATGAACAGACCTTAAGTGCTTGTACCGAACACAATGTAAGATTGTTCTCAGGCAACCCTCAAACCAATAGTCTGGATCATCCAATTCATCAAGAAGAGGGAGTAATCTGCTTAATTCTTCATCAGATTGGAGGTGCTCCTAAGAGGTAATTAAGAAAATGTTAGAAGTTCAGACAAGACAAAGAATCCAAGCATTAATTTAAGAACTCACAATAAGACTTATAACAGCTTTCGGCTCTAAACTGCATCCAGCTTGCTTCATCTCTTCATATATACTGAACGCATCACACAATTGCCCATGTGATGCAAGGGATTGGACAAGCATGCTTTTAATTTCATTCAAGCACTTTACTGGAATCCCTTTATCTAAGAGTACCTACCATTCAACGAGTATCAGTAAGATCACTAGAAACCATTCATATTCATAAGTATATAGAAACCTAGAACTTCTACTGTAGACTCATAGAGTCATAATTCTGGTACAACAGAAAATATAAGGGAATTGTTATTAGCATTCCGAAAAGTCATCACACACTCCTTCCTAATAAATAAAAAAGTAGAGGGAGTTGAAGCGCCAAAAACAGCTCCTAAATAGTAAACAGTTAATTATTAGTAAGAAGAATGCTAAAAACTAGAATACCAGGCAAATGTTGTCCATATGATCACAATATTGCAGGAAAATGAATAAGGCACTAATAGGAAACACAGATAGAGGACATTTACAGTATTAAAAAAATAGAAGATAGGGGGAAAACGGACTATGTAGAAATAAAAATTTAAAATAAAAATATTTACTTTCCTCCACATTTAAATAAAAATTCCATATTGAATGTTATTCAAAAGAATTCTAGGAGGCAGGCCATTTTGTTTTGCTCTACTCTCGCAAGAAAAAACAATAATGACAACAGTTTTTTAAAACGTTTAGGAACTGGCTGCAAACTCCCAATGTTTATGGTTATTCATATTTTCCCAAAAAAACAAAAAGACAGTCCCTTCTTATTTAAATAGTAATCACATCACTACGTGAGGAAAGTATCAATATGATAGTAGACAACTACCCCACATAAAAGATTAAAACAAACTGAAGTTATATTCAATGATAAACTAGAACACAAGTTCTGCAATCATATTCTGTCATTGTCCCATTTCTAAAGCTACATTAAAGATAACATAAACTCTTCTCCTTGGATCATAAGAGACTCGGTACAAAGAAGTTGCCACATGCATAGATACCTGTTTTGCCTTTTCAAACTGTCCACAAGTTGCGTATGCATTTACAAGTGCCATGAAAATTTGCTTGGTAACTTGAATTCCAGAATGCTTCAGTTCTTCATAATACTACAAGTAGATAACCAGATCAGCATCTTTTGAAATAACACTCATAAAATATTAGTAAATTGGACAATCAGGCCTCACTTGTTTGGCCAGAATTCAAATCAGGAATGGGTTTCCCATGCCATCACGATGTGATGTTTGGCTGGCAAGCAGAGGAAACAAAACTAAAGAATTGACCGTCGTTGACTGGAATCAATTCCTTTAAACAGGTGGAATGGAATTACAGGGACGATGATGATATTCCTATTCCACGGAATGCAAATTTAGAGGTGTCTATAAAAAAGAGACTTAAATTATCTCTCTATTTCTCGCTGTATGTCTGGGACAATCAGGAAAAGGAGTGATTCCTATTTATGTACAAGCATTCTGCTCAAACAAACAAGGCCTCACAAATACCCAGATTGAATATCATATGACAACAGAAAGTAAGACATGGAACCTTGGCCAGAACAAAAAACTTCAGGTTACCTTGTTAATATCCTCTTCAGATTCGCAGTTACTAATTAGATAGCTGAAAGTCTGGGAATCTGGTTGTACATCTGCTTCTTTAAACAGGTGGAATGGAATTACAGGGACGATGATGATATTCCTATTCCACGGAATGCAAATTTAGAGGTGTCTATAAAAAAAAGACTTAAATTATCTCTATTTCTCGCTGTATGTCTGGGACAATCAGGAAAAGGAGTGATTCCTATTTATGTACAAGCATTCTGCTCAAACAAACAAGGCCTCACAAATACCCAGATTGAATATCATATGACAACAGAAAGTAAGACATGGAACCTTGGCCAGAACAAAAAACTTCAGGTTACCTTGTTAATATCCTCTTCAGATTCGCAGTTACTAATTAGATAGCTGAAAGTCTGGGAATCTGGTTGTACATCTGCTTCTTTCATTTGTTTGAGAACCCTCAACCCACCATAAATGTTCTTCTGCAGAGTACAAGAAAAAGAAAAAGTGTCGGCCACAAATTGATGGAAAACTAGAAACAGAACTCAACCACTAATGAAAGCTTAAACAATCACTAATTCATGTTAAAAATCATAGTCATTGTCCAACACCATAGACAACTAGGAAACATCATATACTGCAGACAAGGAACAATATATGGGCATGAGAAGCCCACTTAGTTTTACAAAGCTGGAAGAAAGCAAGAGTCCACACAAAGGGACATAAAAAGGATCTCATAGATCAAAGAAGGTTACCT